AAGCCACACCGACGTAGCCGGTCTTTCCCGATTAGGTATAGAACCTCGCGACATGCCTTCAACGACGGACACCGGTCCGAAGTGTCTCGCATGGTTCTCTTCATCTCCGCGTTCGGCATGACGTCACTCTACCGATGGACTTGATATGTGCCCCTCGGTGAGGCAGCTTCTTGAGGAACAATGCAAAGCCCCTTGTACCAGTGTGCCACTTTCGATAGTCGTAGCGTCCTGTGTAGTATAAAATCTGTCGTACTTCTCTCCAAAAATCAACAAGATCCGGTTCCCCCCTCGAGTTCAGAGCTCATAAGTCGAGTTCGCCCCGCGTCTAAGCCTTTAACTGCGTCACTTCGTCCCTCACTGCGTAACCTCGAAACCTCGTCCACTGTGTTTACTCGTCGATACCGTCTCGACGAACCCTTCGACTTCGACTATTGTCGAAGAAACTGCGAACCGCGTCCTAGCTAAGTCCCCCCTATCGAATTGTCTCTTTCTTCTACGATTCTTCGAAGAGCTCTCCCGAGCTTCGATCGTCTCCACTAACCATCCACAGCCTCCGAGGAGCTTCGACGACGTGTCGAAGCCACCTCGTAGCTTCCCCATTGTTCGTAGCCTTTTCCGAAGGCGTTTCTCGTGTTCACTCGAACCGCGGGACACCTTGCTGCTAACTCCCCTCTCACTAGACTATAATCCGTCTCTCTAGTCCCTTTAGGTCGCACCCAGGTTAGGGGTTAGGGTTTCGTAGGTCGTATCAGCATGCTTCCTGCTGACGTGGCCATGGGCCAATGTGTCATAGCAGTTGTGTCAGCGGAGCCCGGGCTGTGCCATGCACTGCTGTCCTATCTAATCTTATCTACAGGAGAACATGATATGGCAGCGGGACTTGTCCATTCAAGCATATAGTACAGAGGTCATGGGTTTGAGCCCGCAGAAAGGAAAAAATTAAAAAATGGCTAGACACCATGTCAACTTGTGACAGTTGCCAATAGCACCACAAGAGATGGTAGCCTCCAGTAATCCTGCCAACATGACTTCGCGAAGGTTGAACCATAGTACAGTGTCGCACCCTGTTTTGTGGGCCATGATTATGCCACTACACCCTGTAAGGATACATTCGTTCGGGAGGATATTCTGCCATGATTTGCACTCGGAGTCGCTCCTGACGAGAATGGGCCAGAAGCGAAGATAAACACATAAGTCTTAGAGAGACAGAGGACATTGTTGCAGTTGGCAGCAAAGTCACAAGGAGGTACCTCTGATAGATTCTCAACGCAAAGCGCTGAGGCCCGTGTCTTGATGCGGGTACACAGGCAGGCAACTCCATGAACCCATGCTTAATCTGTGTGCACTCAACCCTAGCGCAACTGGCACCTGACCCGGGGACAAAATCGTGGGGTCCCGCCCAGGGACAAATCCCATCCAGTTCACGTGACCTATGTACAACCGTCACCACCTGTACCCCAGCACTATATTCTTGTTCACCCATTATACAAGATAGCTCACAATGCAATAGAATTATTGTATTACATATAACAGGAAGTCTAAATGTACATTATAAGGTGTAAATGCAACTCTGTAACACTGTATGGGACAACGAAGAAGTGAGAAAATGCTCCAGCCTATGTCCGCAGGCCAGAAGACAGCAGTGCTCACATTCACATTTGCAGTCTTCATCACTGGTGTAGTCAAGGGAGGAGGAGCCATGATAAGACCATCTCTGGAACAAAATCAAAAAAAGTCAGCTGAAAATACATGCTCCTGATCATGCAATCAGGGTACTGGTACATTCACCAGGAGCTCTAGCTCAGAAGACACAAATCATGAGATAGGTAGCAATGAAGAAAACACGAAGTCACCACAGATGGATGAGAGGAACAGGGTGAAGAGTAGAGCACACTTGAAATTTGACTCGATGGTCGCTGTCACATCATACTATCACATGACTGCCTTGTCACGCCGGTAGCACTTGTAAATGTAAGTCACATGATGGCGAAACTTAACCCTGGCGCAAGGGCACAGCAACTGATGCATGGGTCAAAATGATGGCTCAGAACAGGTACAAACAAAAGATTTTGTATCGAGGCTAAACTACACTTGTGCCGGGGACACAAGGTGTTTTGTACCTGCCGCACACGAGGCGCGGGTTGAGTGTGGGCTAATAGAACTTCTGGCTGTGTAGTCCAGTTGCGGAGTGCGAAATTTACGCAAGCCTGAAATGGGAAGGTCAGAATTGATTAGGACCACCGTTAACGGCAACTTCCGGTGGCTGAGATTGTATCCAAGTTTCAAACGCTTTTCATTCTCTTAGAGAGCGTGCAGAGCATCTTAACAGTTGTCTTCGTGCACCTCTACTCGTATTCTCTGGAGAGCACTGACGAAAAAAGGCTCGCCCACTGTGTGTATCAACTTGAAGAATGCCGTTACCGATACGAGCCACATCAACATGCGTCAGCACAAGCCATTGTACGAGCTAGCACCAATGGCGTGCTTACATCACTGACAGCTCGCTTAAATCAGCCTTATGAAGCAGAGGACTCTAGCATTATTCATTGGCTTTCTAAGGACTGTTGAGGTGCACCGATGCGCAAGTATAAATTCGGAAGTGCTTCTCGAATTATGATGTGTATCACGTTGGTCGTGTTTATTCTTGGCTCTCCGACTCAGCAGTACTGCCAATATGTCGCACGGAAAGCATTTCACGCTTTACACGAACGAGCTGTTGGAACAAGGGTGCGAACGGCGCGGGGCGCGTTTGTCCACGGGCATAGCGATGCCCGTAAGGGACAATCGCGTGCGGTATGTACATCGCGCGGGGTCGTTTTATACTACGATAGGGGCCTCCGGCCCCCGGCTACTCGCGCGCCCGAGCTTGCGAGCTCGTTCCTGACCACGCGGGGCTGCGCGTTTCAACACGAGCTTGGACTGAACAGATGGTGCGTGCGATAAGCGTAGCTCTAGAGCCTTGCTCACCGCATCACAAACTACAGGAAGGTTGCTGTCGTGCTGGAGGCATTCGGTCTGACTTACGAAACCGTCACCCTCGATTTCAGTAAACAAGAGCAGAAGTCTCCACAGTATACCAGGTACAACCCAAATGGCCGCATTCCGACTCTGATTGACCACAAGAACGGCGATTTTGTGGTGTGGTATGCGACATTCTATATCCATTTCTGCTAACGAGTGATCCTGAAATGCCTCGGTAGGGAATCAAATGCCATTCTTGTATATCTCGCGGACAACTACGACACCGATCACAAGTTCTCCGTTGTCGAGCCTGATGAGAAGATCACTCAATTGCAATGGCTCTTCTTCCAGGCCTCGGTCAAGGGTAAGCAGTTGTCCGAGTTCTGACCCTATGAGCGTGTTCGTATATATGGTTAGTCCCTACTATGGCCAAGGTGGTTGGTTCCGCCGGAGCCACCCTGAGAAGGTCCCGAGCGCTCTCGAAAGATACCAGAAAGAGGCGCTTCGTATTCTCAGCATGCTCGAGAGCGTACTATCGAAGCAAGAGTGGCTCGTTAGGAACAAGTGTACCATTGCGGACCTGTCTTTTGTTGCGTATGTTTCCTCCCTCGCCGCGCTCTGGGTTCAAGCTGATGGCGCAGACATCAGATGGAATATCGCCGGATTTGCACTGCTGATACATGACTACAAAGAATTCAATCTTGAGAAGGACTTCCCTGCAGTACATAGGTGAGTCCTCGTTAACCTGTCTACGTGAGCACTGCCGGAATAATGGGACACAGATGGCACACTGCTATGTTAACGATGGAACCAGTCCGCGAAGCTCATGCTAAGTACCACGCCATTATTGCACGAGCTGCAGATGGTGAGTACAAGTGTCCTTCCCGGCGTCTTGCATAGTTTTACATAATCCTTTCGCTACAGCGCTGAAGAAGGCTGAGCAAGAAGCATAAGCAATGTAGTGCCGACTGTATTCAGTTTTTTCAACAAATAAGCCTACGCCACGTTCGAATCTGAGACGCCTTCGCTCCAAGCGTGCAGTTTTCTCTTGCTACGAAAGAGTGCGAGCGTGACGCGTTAGTGCGCAACACGATCACGTGAGAGAGGCGTTCTCTGAGTCTCGCCTTCAGTAGTGTCTCGCCTGATATCAGCGGTGAAGCGAGAGTGTAAAAAGTAGAAGAGTGCCCTATTCCGATGTACATCTCAAACGGATAACAAGGCACACTGCCCCGGTTACCTAGCGCGGGTGGCAATGTCAAGCGCAAGGTACCACACGGACCCACTGCAACAAACAACGCATCAACAACGATACTTTTCCGGCCGACGTATTGTTTTTACACTCCTTGCAGCTGACCCGGACCGTGAGGCACGCATGGCGTCGCTAGAGTTTATGTGACAGCTCTTCCCTCAACAATAAGTTCTCTATCCTGTGCTATCATCTCGAATACAACGGTATGGTCGCCATGTCACATCGACATTTCAAACCGTCAGCATGCTTCGCAGTGGCGCATCTCCACGCAGACGATGTCTGCTATATAACCGTCCAGACACCCGTGTTGCTCTTGAAAATTTCATCCAGGTGCGTCCCGATCCTTGCCTCGAATAACTGACCTGTTCCCCATTCTCTTCATTCGAAGTGAATGTCGCCATCACTTAACTCAGCTATGTCCACGCCCGACTCGATTGACCACCTACGGGCTATGCTCGGCATCAACATCATGCCGAGCGACATCCCACCAGAGGAGCGTCCATGTCCCGACTTACCTCAGGCTCCCGGTCGCACCTATCGTTATTCAGGACTCTTCCAGCGCACAGCCCTACCTCCGTCCACCATCACTCCGGCTTCCAATGCGCTGTATACGTCGCAGACAGGCGGCGTCTCCATTTCGACTGATTCCTTGGACTTGGATACACCTAGCACAACTACTCAGATGACGTCCTCGAGAGCCGACAAAGGCAAGCAAGTTGACCACGGATCTTCAACTTTGCCCACGCCCGTCGTTTCAACCATGTTATCGAGTCCGACCTTGGTCGACAAGGGCAAACAGACTAGTCTGTCAGTGCCTAGCCATTCTGGCCAAGGGAAGCGTATAGATCGAGGTCATTCTGTCCAAATATGCCCGGACGAAGGGGAAAATACTGCTTGGGGTACATCCGTCGCAAATACTGCTGCGAGGAAAGCGGAGAGCGCGATCTCTGCGCTGGAGTATGCCGATGCGAGGAAGCGAGTGCGACCTGAGCCAGCAGCGATGTTCGGATCATCCATTAAGTCACCAACAGTGGCCACTGTTACCCAGAAGCAGCCAAAGGCGACACCGCCAATTGTCATCAACTTTTCACAGCCGCCCGTGATCACGGTCATGCCCACAACCACTCTTGGAGCTCCTGCAGTGGGCGTACAGCCTCCGTCTGTCCAATGCTCGCTGAGCCGCCCCTCACCCGTGGTCCGTGCTTCCAATCCTCCAGCACATCCAACCGTGTCCTCTGCGAGCGGCGCGTCCTCTGCGCTCGTCGAGACCACCATTGTTTCACCCACTCCCAAGGTGGCTACCACTGGAACGATTGGTTCCCCCTTGTCCCAACCAACCGCCAAGACGCAGTCCGGCGGCATTTCACAGGGAACTACAGGATCAACGACGGCGTCAACGCCCACCGTCACAGAACCGACTCTCTCACTTCAAGAGCCAAGACAGCTCAAGGTCACAAGGCGTGACGGGGGTACACCTGCGACACCTTTAGGTGATGAGAAGGATCGGTAAGCTCGTCGCGCATGAAGTGGGTGTAACATACCTTATTGATCGTTTGCGAGCTCAGGCCCGATCTACTCGGCTGGACAGAGCATATCCACCTTGACGGCAATCTCTACTACTGGCATGACGAGGAGCGCATCGCGACGACGGACGACATAGAACAACCAGGCATGCCCTCCTCGGTCGTCGCCTATGTAGTCAACCTGCGTGAGCGGCTCGTCAGGGCCAGAAAGATGCTCTGCATCGAGCTGACAGGCACCGAGCATGCGATCGTCCGAGGTGTCGGCGGAAACGAGGAACCCGAAATCTGTTTCATCGATCTCGAGCGCGGCCTGTACATCGAGCCTATCTTTGGGAGGATTAACAAACAGTCAGTAGAGCTCGTGTATGAGAGCAAGACGGAGAAGTTCTGGAAGCGGATCGAAGCATTCCCGATGCACCTGAAGCGCCTACCTGCGGACGCAAACGCTGAATTCCTCGGTGCCCTCTCGTTCGGTGCTAGTGGTAAGTAGCCGGATTTGCGAATCCGTGACTGGATGCTGAGATACAGAGCAGAGAAGATTTTCGAGTGGAATGACACGGCATTCCCATTCAGTGAGCATCAATCACAGCGATTGCTGGAGGTCTACACGGATCTGAAAGGTGAGCCAATCAGCCTCTGCGTATTATGAAAAACTGACATCGTAGCACAACTCACAGAAGCCAGCGATCGGGGGCTCTTCGTCGTTCCTGCCCAAGCATGGCACATTGCGCGGGTCATGTCTAAGGTCGAAGCGGAACGACGACTGTACAAGCACGGGTCACACGACTTCAAGGTGTACCGTTACGCTGCGATTGACCCGCCGTCGTGGCAAGTGAAGATTCTTGACCTATTCTTGGTGGCCATGTTGTTCGGCGTACAAAGGATGTACCGTCTGCGACTGCAGAGTGCACGGGTAAAGGGGCAGGTGCACGTATCGGTATTACGGGAGTTATTTGAGCAATTCCTGGACGAATGGGCAGGTGCGTTACTTGAGATCCTGATTTGTGGCTGTTCACTGATGCTAGTCTTTCACTCGGAAGACTCTAATCTATTGGCGACCGTATTTGTGGGGTTAGTGACAAGCGATACAAGCGGTTGATGTGCATACTGACAGATTTCTCAGCGCAAACCTGGGATTCCTTGCAGTAGGGGTGAGTAACAATGCCTTTGTCGTTTCGATCGCAGTACATCACCTGACTGGGCGTTCGCAGACGATTGATGAGCTGCAGCGAACAGCGCTGCTTGTGTCGTCAGTATTTGCCGTGATGAGTGTCGCTTCCGGCGTCCACCACACGTGGCAACATAGACCGAAGGTGGATGCAGACGAAGAGGAGGCTGTAAGTCTTTGGTCCGCAATGCGCCTCGCCGTGACTCTTCTCTAAAACCGAGTCTAGGAACATTACCTTATGCACGCCCATCGACTGGGGAACCAAATGAACCTGTCCGTGACCGCATGCTTCCTCGCGCTGCCTGTCGCATCCCTGCTCTGGTGCATTATTGCCTTTGCGGTTGCTCTCGGCGCGTTCTGCATCCAAAGTACAGATATCCACAGCGAAGTTCTCCTCTCGGTGGCGCTGGGCCTGCTCGGTCTGCTCAGCATAGCTACCCTGCTATTCTTCTGGCACATCTGGAAGGGCCCGCGGAGAGTGGAGATCGAAGATGAGCTGGTCGGGACACCGGACGGCTGGAAGGCAGCCTTCAAGCGTCAGCGACGCGAGGTCAAGGCTATTATTGGACGAATGAAGAACAAGGCGTCCGTACCTGCATGTCAGGCTGCCAAAGCAAAGCTCAAGAAGGGCACCAAGAGAGCTAACGAAGCAGTTACGCTTTGAAGGACGCACCGGTTTGTTGCAAGACATCGCAGTATCGCCAAAGGAGCTGCCATCACAGTTGGATATTAATGTATTGCCAGGATCATGAATAATGTGAGCGGGGACCAGCAGAGTCATTGTCACGACGAAAGGCTATAAATGAAATGCCGTCACGGGCAGTGTCGTTGCGGATAACCGCCTGGTGCATATATTACACGAGGGACCGAGAAACCTCAAGGCAATTGCGAATGTATCCTCGCAGAGTCAAAGCTAGCGCCTTCAATAATTCGTCAATAGTCTCAATCCCTTTCCCCACGGCCTTCGGAATAGTATGACCTCCAACAAGTGGCAGGAAGAGTTATGATACATCCTTGCGTGCGATGCGGATAAGGGGAATGGAGCGTGTGTCAACGAAGACACACTACGGAGACCCTGGAGTCTGCTCCGTACAGGCAAGTACAGTATCTTCTGCGACATACCCAGAGGAAGAGGATTAGTTTAAGGTGTCGCCTGAGAATAATACATTACAATAACAGCGGATGGGGCTCGGGAGATGGGGGCGCTATGAAAGCGTCCGGAAGACATTGAAGCTCTAGTCTTGCGAGAGACACATTGCTGAGCTTGGGTTCGAGGAATTTCATGGTGCGCAAGAATAAGATCGACGATGTCAAATCCAGTTTTGTGGGTAAATAAGTAGAGGGGGATGGCGGCATAATCTGCACAGTACATCCCGGGCTTCGAGCACTCATTGACCTAGTTGAAGAAAAACGTGAGCCAGATATGAGAAGGGAAGATCAATGCACTAGGGTTGTTCTAAGTATATCAACGCTAACGTACGGAGCACCTTGCGTTCTAGGCATCAGCGGCCCGTAATATGCGGTTGCTGACAAGACCATATTAACGCGTGTTATGCGCATTTACGGACGGAATATGGTTGCACTGACGTTACAAGTCGGACGAATGCAGGCTTGACGGTAACAGTAGCAGGATCTGATCATCTGTGTGCTGAATGAAACGCGATGGGAGATCACGTGGGGACTATTTTTGCGACGCGTCTGGGGCCAGCGCGCGTCGACCAGCGTCCCCCCCACACCACCCGAGCACTGCTATGCAACCACGCCCTTGCCACGCCCCTCCCGCCCTCTAGCCACCGTCCCGCCATGTCCCCCTCGTCCTCTCTTCAATGGTTTCTCCTTGCCCTCCCCGCCGCTGTCTTCTTCGCATACGTCCTTACCGCTTTCCCACACGCCTCCACAACGCTCACCGTTCATCCCTCACTGGCGACCCTCCCCAACGACTCCGCCAGTTGGTCCGTCTATCCTGAGACGTTTTATGATGGGGGACAATACGTGCGCTTTCCACAGGGTACCGTGAGTGAACGCAGTTGCGCTTTGACTAGGGGCATGCGTTCAACTTTGACTCGTCGTGCAAATCAGGTGCGATACTGGCTCGTAGGCCCTGAAGACGGTGAACGCGTATGTCTGGACTTATATGTTAAGCTACACCAGATTGACGAAATGAGGCACGCAGATCGTTCTAATCCATGGATTGTCCGTGCCTGCGATCATCTGGAAAGACGTTGCGCCGCAACTTGTAGACAACGGCTTCCGGGTACTGTTGTATGGTATGTCCTTTCATGAATGACTTCCTGCTCTACACCTACCCATATGTATCTGCAGATCTGTACGGCCGCGGCTATTCCGATGCGCCTCAGACAACCTACGACGCCGGTCTTTACACGACTCAGCTCGCTCTTCTTATGCAACATGTAGGCTGGGACAAAGCATGCATCGCAGGCGTGTCAATGGTACGCCATTCACGCTGGTCTGTCTGTTTCTTTGCTAACTAGCCATTACACCCCATTATCGCCAATCTGTTCGGCTCATGTTCAACCCATCCTCATCCTCATGGTCTTGACATCTCTTCGGCCGACCTGTCGCCCAATGCGTATTATCTCGTTTCTGCCGTCGCGGACCATAGGGAGGCGGCATTGCTACTGCTTTCACTGCACATTTTCCACATCTTGTGACCGACAAGATAGCGCTCATCGCGTCCACTGGACTCCTAAATGTATGTCTCATTCCTTGTTTCAGCGCCGAATGGAAGCTAAACACAGGCTACTTTCGCTGCACGCATAGCCTAGTGACCTGTCCCGAACCTCCAAATTCCTCTCCTCGCCGCTCATTCAATTTTTTGCTGCGAGCTATCCCTTCCGCGTGCGTCGTACTCCTCATTATTGCATTACTGCTCATATAAAATCCTACTCTTTCACAGCTTTACCTCCAATATCTCGCGAGTGGCAAACCGTCCAACGACCCTATCGCCGAAGTGAGTTGGTCCCGTTTATGAAGTCCGCATGTGTTCACCGGCCGACCCTCTCCAGCTTGTGCGCATACAGTCAGCGTACCTTCCGGGGTTCAACCCCGCTATCGCCTCCTCGCTTCGGGACGGCCCTGTGCGCAGCCTCGCGCCCGCGTTCGCTGCGCTCGGCCGGCGCGCGAGCAAAGAGGGCACGCGTGTGCTGCTGGTGTGGGTGAGTATTTGGTTGCATGTTCCCTCGCGCTCTCTCTCTCTCCTTCTGAAGCCGTTAATATTTCAATCCCTTGGACAGGGCACGGCAGACGCGGTTGTCCCGTACCGCAACGCCGCCCGTGTGTGCACATACGTGCCGGGAGCAGAGCTCGTGACGATCGGGGGCGCGGGGCATGATATCACGATTAGTCACCCTCAGGAAGTGGGCGAGGCGCTCGTGCAGTTCTTTCGCGGGCGGGCGTGAGGCAGGAGCCCGCGGAGACCAGGGCACGGAGAAGGCAGGAGGGGGTGGGTGTCCCCCGGTGGGGCGGAGGCGTGAGCTTTGAGAGCGGGCGGTGTTTGCGGTACGCCATGTCCTCAAATTTCCTTATTGCACATGTATTTGACCTCACGTCCTGCACAGCCCATGAGCCTTTTCCGATTTTGGTTTACTTATTCGCTTTGTTCTTCTCGCATTGGCATCCGCATCGTTTTTTCTCGTTCCCTCGCGTCACGTACACTAGCGGCCAGCCCGTCACTACTCTTGATCATACATCTATGAGCCATCTGCATCTGCCGCATACAACATCGCAAATCACCATCGCACCGCGCGCCACCACGTACACATATCCAAACTCACATATGCATTGTGTCCCATCATGTTTGTTCACATCCTATATGCCTCTCGTTTCTGTTGACCTAGTGTACTGGCATAGTGTAATGTGCTCCTGTGTGTTGTCTCACCATCTTCTTGAAAATAGATCAATAGCTTAATGTGAATTATTGGACAGCATCGCCACTAAGCCATTAAGAAAGTGTCCTTGAAAATCGCAGAATTATAGCAGCAGAAAACAATAACGATAGACCTCCCCTTGCAGATCATACTTTGAGGCGAGGTGAGGCAGAAGCTTGTAGCGGGAGAGAGGCTACCGAATGAGGAACGTGAGGTGTACGTTTGCTGTGGCCCCACGCTCGTCCTCTCAGTGATCGTCGATGTATCCATCCTGCTCAGAACGTGTTGTACGCATGTCTGGCTCCGTGACTACTGGTCAGATTACATCGCGTCATGGGGTTCAGAGTTCGCCGCTGTCTGCTATTGTGGAAGCAGAGAGCGACAGGGGAGACCTCGACAAGCGCACCAATATATTGAGACATTAGCGTTAATTCCTATATATGGCTGCCGTAAACGACCTCTTCTGAGGATGAGAGGTCGTTTACGGCAGCCATATTACCAAGCGCCGCTATGCCCCCTATCTGTAACCGGCGACGTCATTGTACGCTTCGAGCTAGCCAGACATGGATATCCGGAGCCGGCGTAGGTTGAGGGAATTGTCTATCAGTCACTATACCTGGCCATAGAGTCCTCGAGCGTTGGCCAAGCAGACCTTGAAATGTCATGCGTGATATATCGTGATGGATGTGTTACTTTTACGTGACTGCCGACTTGGGGGTCTGCCGACTACCCAGGATGGCACAATATCTGCACCCCACGATCACGGCCACCGCGCAAAGGAGGTGCCCTTCAAAGCTACACAGACTCCCTTTTTGCGGTGGTGCGGATACGGCGGGTCTCGGTACGAGAACAATTGTATCCAAAGTCTCGCGCAAGCTCTCCAGGATCAAGTACACTTTCAACCACGCATCATACCCTGAGCGCAGAACGGTGCGAAGCAGACACCCTT